ATATATACAAATATATTATTATTATATACAAATTATATATATATATGTGTAAGGAAATAATCGAACGATAGAGTGAAATCATATTTTATATGGTTTCTCATAAAACTCAAAATCCCATCTTTTCATCGTTTTCAATGATTCTATTTAATCATTCGCGGTTAAATTATTCTCGCGAGAATCTTGACGATTAATTATTAGTAATGTAAGAAAACAATTTTTTTTTTTAAACGAGCATTCAAGTAAATGAGAGCTTTTATGATACAACGAATCTCATGGTCGTTGGTTTCTTTTTTTTTTCCTGTTTTCTTTAAAGTATCTCGAGTAATTATCATGGACTTAGAGAAATGATGAATTTTTTCTTTTTTTTTTTTATAGAAATTACTCACATTTTTAATCTAAAATATCAAGTATTTTTTTCCCCAATTATCCTTCCTCCCCTTTTTTCTTTTTTTTTTTTATAGAAATTACTCACATTTTTAATCTAAAATATCAAGTATTTTTTTCCCCAATTATCCTTCCTCCCCTTTTTTCTTTTTTTTTTTTTTCAAAGTTGCATACAATTATATAATTGTTAGGTTGTTTTTAGTATTTAAAAAATATGTACTCACCGTGTTTGCGATATTCCTCGAAATTCATCTTTTTACTTTCGTTGAGATGGTTGAGTGGGTTCGGTGTGAGGGGGAATTAAGGGGGGAAAGGAAAATTTGTTATACAAAGATGAGAAATCCGCGATGATGATATTTTTGTTCGATCAATAATATTCTTCTCCGACGTTTAGTATTTTTTTGGGGTTTTTTTTTGTTTTCTCCTTCTCGATGTAACGTGGTAATTTCTTCTCGAGGATTGAAATTAGACTCGTGTAAGCCTATGGAATCAACAGTATCGTTGATAGATCACCTTTTTTATAGATCACGATCTATATTTTATTTGAATCGGTGGTCTCATAACAACCAGATCTCGAAATTCCGATGTACCCGTTTCACGCACATGTGGCTACGATTTTAATTCAATACGTTTATTTAATAATTATTCAAATTTCTTTCCCTTATCTTTTTTTTTTTTTTTTCTTTTCACGTAAGACAAAACACACAAGAAGAGACAAATACAAGTGTGTGTGATATGTGTGTATGTAATAAATTAAAATATATAATTACATATAGAAATAATAAAATAATAATTAAATAATTAATTAATTAATAATTAATTATTATTATTAATGTGAATTGTGTTTGTGTGTGTGTGTGTGTATATGAAATACGATAAATCCCGTAAATAGGGGAGGAAAAAAAAAACACAAAGTGAAAAATGTATTCAACGTTCTCGGTAAACTTTGACGGGATGACTACTGAAGGAAGAGAATTTAGTAGTGCATTAATGCCGAAAGATTTGTACGGATTCATCCAATCATCGATCGTACTGTCACATGGCACCCAAGCCGAGCTTATTAGGCTAGTGTGACAAGGCTCGTAACGGCCTAGAACCAAACTGCCCCCTTTCATTCACTCCTACGTCACCCTTCTTCCCAACCCTTGGCTGGGTGGTTAACCACCACCCCACATCGGATTCACTTCAACATTTTATACAACGAACAAACTTATACGAATTCTTTCCTATGAAATTATTTCATCGCTATATTGTTGACCACAATTATCATTATTATTTTTTTCATTATTTTTAACGATATAGAGATAGTTTGATTGGTATTAATCCTTCTTTCCATGATTTTTTCTTTTTTTTTTTTTAAATAAATCAGGGTGACGTAATTAATGCTCTAGATTAAAGGAAAAATATTGAAAAAAATCCTAGTGCTATTTTTTGACAACTGCGTTTTGTTGTACGCAATAGTCGCTTAAAAAGTTGCCAGCAACAACAAATATACAGTACAAGGGTTTTGAGTACCTTTTTTTGTTGACTACATATTATGATTGAAATTTTCATCATCATGCAAAGAAGGGTTAAACAAAAACAAGAACAATAATGACTATTATTTCCGAACTTACTTACTTTGCTACTGATATTGTTACTACTATTACTACTACTATTACTACTTTCCAACGAATTACCAACGAAATCAAACACGAATTACTCTCTTCCCTTATATTCTCTAACACCTCTTTGCTAATCCCATTTTGGAAAACACAGAATCTCACTCGGTCTACGAAATACGCGTTGAATTAGAAGTTCAAACGAAATTTATTTCTATATCTTTAAACGACACGTACGTTTATTATTATAACTTCGATTGATTCATTTATTACTTAGAATTTATTTACTATGATAATAATAATAATATATTTGTTTTTTTTATATATTGTACGACTAATAATAATAATAATATAATAATATATATTATTCGGATCGAATTTAAATTTCTCAACGAAACGAGATTACAATTTGTTTTTTTTTTCTTTCGAATTTTGTAACTTTTTCGACTAGATTAGAAAATAAGAAAAAAATAATAATAATAATAAACGAACACTATATATAATTGGCAAGAAGTTGCGTTTAGTAACGAAAAAAGAAGGAAAAGTTAAAAATTTGTTTAGAATGTGTGATAATAATGTGATTGAGAAACGTGGTGGAGTGATTATAAATGTGCGGAGAAAAATGGGTGGGTGGGTGAATGGTTGGTAGAAAAAGGGGGGAGGGCGTGGGGGAGGAGGAGGGGAGAGGAGGGGTATGAGAAAGAAAGAAAAAGCTTAAGAGCGGTAGGGAAGGAGGGTGTCTCTGTGTATGTGTATGTGTGTGTGTGTGTGTGTGTGTGTGTGTGTGTGTCGGTGATATTAAAAGCTCCTCTCTCTGTCGTTTCCGTTTCCGACTTTTCTAATTTCCCGTTAGCTTTTCACTAAGCGCATACGATTCGAAGGATTTATCCCGTTTTATATGCCGTGCATACTTCGTACGAACGATTATGACACGACCGACGACCATGACGACGACCATGACGACGAACGATGTCAATTCTTGGTCAAATTTTTGCCCCTGCTCCCCACCACCACCCACACCACCACCCCACTTTAAAGTATCCGCAAATAATCAGAGCGTATTATTAAACGATCATCGGCATCACTTATCACGATATTTGTTTGATTCAAATGAGAAAAGAAAAAATTAAATGAAAATGATGACGACGGTGGTGTGATTTGTTTTTTTTTTTTTAATTTTTTTTTTACTCTTTATATTTTTTTTTATAAAAATTATTTTGGAAATAATTGACCGCTTTATTCAAATAAAAAAAGAAAAAGATGATGACGATGATGTGATTTGTTTTTTTTTAATTGTTTTTGTTACTCTTTATATTTTTCTTTATAAAAATTATTTTGGAAATAATTGACCGCTTTATTCAAATAAAAAAAGGAAAAGATGATGACCATGATGTGATTTGTTTTTTTTTTAATTGTTTTTGTTACTCTTCATATTTTTTGTTTTAAATTATTTGGGAAATAATTGAACGTTTATATACGTAAAATTTGTTGTTCGAATTTAAATAGAAAATATATATAATTACGAAATTATTATTATTATTAATTATTAAACAAAAAAGAAAAGAAATATATGTATTTGTAAAAAGAAAAATATAACGCACTGACGTTTCGGAAAGTATTCGTTATTTAAGAAGTTGTTGATATCTCGTCGCGTGGATTGAATCGTTTTTTTTTAAAAAACAAATTTAATATCACGATAGTTAAAGAAAAAGAAAATAATGATAAGTACAAGTTTAATTGTAAAGTGTAACGATAAATGGAAAAAATATTAGAAAATTCGATTTAATCGATGTTTCAAACATTTAACTCGAACTTATAACCGAATAGTAAGAGAATTTTTATTACACGATTGAGAAACAAAATTTCTCTTTTCGAAACTTTTCTTATAACCAACGAGAGAAATTCATTAACGATACGGAAAAATAAATATGAACTGAAACACACGCACAAACAAAATATATATGTATACAACGGAATGAGAAATAAACGTCTCGTAAAATGAAGCATAAAATAAAAAAAAAAAAAAGGAATATTAGCTAATCGATTTTTTTTAATACATTTCGATAGAAAAATCTTCCCGTAATTTTATCAATCCGATTTAACATTTCAAGTGTCTAACAAAAAAAAGTAAAACAAATCTATCGAAAAATATATGTACCCCGCCTCCCTCCCTCCGAATACAAAAAAACAATACACACAATATAAATAATTTATCGATAATTTTGTCCAGAACTATAATATTAAAATAATGTATCACAAGGAATTTGAAGAGTTCTTAAATTTTTATGAACAATTTTTTTCGAACAAGTTGAACGTTTTGGACGTTTTTTTGGGGTTTTATCAGCAATTTCGATCGTTATTGTTCACGAGTTAATTTACATTTTTTTCTTTTTCAAAGTCATACATTTAAACTATATTTAACATTTACAATACATTTTTTCCTAAGCACCTATATATTATCACATACAAATACTATGTATGTAATGTATATGTTATTGTGTATGTAAGTAAAATGTATTGTAAATGGTAAATATAGTTTAAATGTATGACTTTGAAAAATAAAAAAATGTATATTGATTCGTGAACAATAACGATCGAGTTGCTGATAATGAAGTCCCAAAAAATGTGACGAAACGTTTAACTTGTTCGAAATAAATCAATCAATCACATAAAGATTTAATAACCATCAAAAATTTCCTGCGATACATATTTTAATATAAATAATATTAATAATAACAATAAACAACGATAATTAACTCGTACTCGAATGTTTAAAAAAAAAAAGAAGAAAAAGCAAAGGGAAAATAACTTAAAAACAAATTATTCAACCGAATATTTTCTTCAAACCTGTTTTAGATTCCAATAAAGAAGTAGAAGTAGTAGAAGAAGTAGAAGAAGTAGAAGTAGAAGAAGGGGTACGGGGGAAAATAAGAATTGTCGTTTCCTCCCCGTAATATATATATATAAATTCTTGCTTGATTTTCTCTTCCGCAAAATGTATTGTATCCGGGTATGTTGCAGTTTATCGTTGGAATGCACATCGTTCAACAAGTGGGGTCCGCTTTTATAGTCCAAGCGCACTTCGAAAATCCGCGTGTGCGGAGACGCGCGAGCGGAAAAGCGCAAGCGTGTGTATGTAGATCATTGGTGTGGGGAAAAAACGCGCGCACAACTGAAATTTCTTATTCTTTTCGAGATGAAGATTAGGGTAGGGTAGGGTTGGGAAGGAAGGAAGAAGAAGAAGAAGAAGAATGTAGTAGGGATTTGAAGAAAACTAGAACGGTAAATAGTAGTTGGGTGGGTGGGGGGTGGGAAGGGGAAGGATAAAGAGGAGAATGAAAAAGGAAGGAAAATTAGTGGAGGGGGTTGGTAGTTTATTCCTTCATTTGTGTTAGTTTTTATAAAGAGAAATAAGTTAAAACTTGAAGGATTTTTCTTAAAAGGGCTCAAAGAAATATGATTCCCTTAAGGGAATATATACAATATATATATATCTTTTGAGTTCTCGTTTTTTCTTTTTTTTATTTACGTATCATTTATATATATATATATATAAATATGTGTGTGTATTATTTGTATCCACGGTGTATAATCGTAAAGATWAGTTAACGGTAAAAAAAAAAAAATGAAGAAGAATAATAATAATAATAATTATAATAATAATAATAAGAAAAATATGAGAGGTAATTAGAAAATAATGTATATCTAGTCTTGCGTAATGAGAATCATTAATTTTGACGAAGGAAGAGTAGATAAATGCGATGGTGGTAGTGGTGGTAGTGGTAGTTATGGTAGTGGTAGTGGTAATGGTGGTGGTGGTTGCCGAGTTGTTTTTATTTTCTTCGAACGACATATTCGGAAGTAGTCGATAACGTGTGTTACGCTTGCGGTTATTATTCTTTATTTATTATACCTCGCTTATGGCATATGTTTATTAACTTAGAGACAAATTTCCATATCGTATGATGACTATTTATGCTAATGGGGTTTCATAATTGCGAATTTATATCTTATTTTCTATATCATATCTCCTTGTGGTATGTTTTGTGTGCATATGTGTGTGTGTACGGACCTTCGAA